AAACTCAGGATAATTTGAGTGTTTAAGATAACTCACAATTAAGGCATATTTAAGCATTCTGGCACATAATAAGAGGTAGCTCCCTTACACATTCCTTTTAATTCACAAATTACTGAGCACATATTCTGTGAACTGCACATGGTGACATTTTTACTTAGCAAATAGCTTTCCCTTAGACCAGTGGTCGGCAAACTCAATCAACAGAGCCAAATATCAACAGTACAACGATTGAAATTTCTTTTGAGAGCCAAATTTTTTAAACTTAAACTATATAGGTAGGTACACTGTTATTAACTTAATTAGGGTACTCCTAAGGCTTAGGAAGAGCCACACTCAAGGGGCCAAAGAGCCGCATGTTGCTCACGAGCCGCAGTTTGCCGACCATGGCCTTAGACCAGGGGTGGGCAAACTTTTTGACTCGAGGGCCACAATGGGTTCTTAAACTGGACCGGAGGGCCGGAACAAAAGCATGGATGGAGTGTTTGTGTGAACTAATATAAATTCAAAGTAAACATCATTACATAAAAGGGTACGGTCTTTTTTTTTTTTTAGTTTTATTCATTTCAATCGGGCCGGATCCGGCCCACGGGCCGTAGTTTGCCCACGGCTGCCTTAGCCCATCTTTTTCAATCCATGTACAATCTGACAGAGAACTGGGGCTCCAAGATGTGGAGTGACTTCCCCAAAGAAACAGGCAGTGACATACTTTCTTAAAATAAGCTTTTTCAATGGAATTATAAACATGTGCAGAAAAGTGAAGCCAACATCAGTATACAGCTGGATGGATTTCCAGTGAACACACCCGTGTAATGCCCACGCCGGGGGAGAGAGGGCGCCCTGCACAAGCACCTCGCGTCCTCAGCCAGGACCAATTTCTTTCCTCTTTCCCCGTTTCAAACATCAACTAGGTCTGGCCCTCCTGTGAGACTTCTCTCACTCACGTTGTGTTTGGGAGAGGCATGCTCGGCACTAGCTGTCCATCATGGAACAGACTTCCATTTATTCACCCGTCCCACTGTCGTGGGACATTCGGCTGTGTCCAGTTGTTAATAGTGCTGCTAGGAACATCCTTATATCTGCCGCTTGTTGAACACAGGTCACAGCGTATGCACCTCCGTGTGGAACTGCTTAGGGTGTTCATATGTTCAGCTTTAGTTGCTACTGACAAGCAGGTGCCAAAGTGGTTGTACCAATTCACACTCCCACCAGCAAAGTGTGAGAATTCCAGTTGCTCCACCGGGTCACAACCATGGGGCTTGTCAGTCTTTTTTTTTTAGCCATTTTGGTGGATATGTGTATTAGGGTTCTCCAGAGAAACATAACCAATGGGGGGGGGGGAGAGAGAGAAAGAGAGAAAGAGAGAGAGAGAGAGAGAGAGAGAGAGAGAGAGAGAGAGATTTTAAGGAATTAGCTCAAGGAGTTGGGGAGGCTGGCAAGTCCAAAATCCTCAAGACAGGCCAGCAGCCCAGGGAAGAATTGATGAGCTCATACTGAAGTTCAAGTCTGAGGGCGTCTGCTGGCAGAATTCCCCTTTCTTTGAGGGAGGTCATTCTTTTGCCATTAAGGCTCCAACTGATGAGATGAGGCCCACCCATGTTGTGGAGAGTAACCTGCTTTACTCAAAGTTCTATTGGTTTGAATCTGAATCTCATCTTAAAAAGTACCTTCATGGAAATGTTTGACCAAAATCCTGGGCCGTGGCCAAGCCAATATGACACATAAAATTAACCATGCGGCATTTCTTTCTTGTAATTTGCATTTCCCTGGTGACTGATGAAGTTGAGTTCGTTGGCCATTGGATATCACCTTTGATGTTTTAATCTCTTCTCTATGTATATACGGGTCCTCATGCATGAAGAGGAGTTCTTTATATATTCTGTATCTTAGCTTAGCTGTATGTGTTGCACAATGTTTCTCTCATCTGTGGCTTACCTAATTTGTGCTAAGCATCTCCATGGAGTGTGCACTTTCATTCTCAGGATCACCCTCTGAGATACGGACCGTTGTCACCCCCGTTTTATAGATAAGGAAGCGAAGACATGGAGAGGTGAGGTCACAGCAGGGCCGTCCGAGAGCAGGGATTCCAACCCGGGCTGGGTGGGTCCTGCGTCCACGCCTTTTCCCCTCCTCAGGACTGTCCTATCACAGCCTCTATCACACAGAACACACTGTGCTGCAGCTCTCTCTCTCTCTCCCCTTCACTGAGCCCCCCGACCCCCACTGCCCAGAAACAAGGGACCAGAAGAGTGGCGAACCTCAGGTAAGGAGCCTTTTTAGTTGCTCAGCTATTACCAGCCACCAGGTGGCAGTCACAGCTCCCAGATCAAATCGTCTCTTCCCCTCCCTTGGCCACCTTTAAGAAAGAACTCCATTCTCATGTTTAGCCCGAATTCCAGCCACGACTCTTTCAGGCACGTGGAGAAAGTGCATTCCAATCCGTGTGCACTGTGGGGTGGGGGGGGGGGGGAGGGGGGCTGACTGCCGGCTCAGTGCAGGGCGTGCTTGGCTGATGCTAGGCGTGGGGAGACCAGGGGCAACTCTGCAAGATGCCATTGCAGCCACAAAAGACACCATTTCCTCCTCCCTCTCCTGCGCCTCATCAAGCAGCTGCAGGGGCTGCGAGGAAAACCGTCAATTCCGTGGGGCCAGGGCGGGCACCGAGGAGGACTGTGGCCCCCTGTGACAGCCACCGGTGACCGTCAGAAACCAGCCTTCCCACCTCACCTGTTCCTCCCCCTCCACGGGCTCTGCCTTGTGCTTCTGCTCCTGAGTGTGAAAGGGACTGAGTCCACGGGGACGGGGGCGGGGGCAGGAAGGGTCCTGGCTGCTAAGGCGGCCTCGGCTTTCAAAACACTCCCCCCAGGACCGGCCAGGAGGGCAGGGGCCCCGGCCAACCCCGTGGTTGGGGCAACAAGAGGGGAGCTGTATGTTTTTAAGTGAAGAAATTGTGAGATATTTTTAAATTCTTACATTAAACAAACAAATGCTGTTAACTCGCAAAATACAACGTGACAGAAGTGTGCTTTTCTCCAGAAATTGCCGAAGCTTGGGGTGGTTTTATATGGAGATAAAATTGACGTCTAACCTGACATTAGCTTCAGGCGTACAACATAATGATTCGATTTTACGTGTGCTTGGAAATGATCGCCGCAGTAAGTCTAGGTAACGTCCCTCACCTCTCACAGCTACACTTTTTCTTCCCTTGTGATGAGAATGGGGCTGATTTTTTAAGGCTGCAGTCTTCCTGCATGATAAGCAGAGGGTATGAGCGTGGCACCCAAGCTTCAAGGCAGGTGACGGCTGGAGTCGGTTGGCACACCTGCCCAGGGTGTCCCCGGCCCCGGTAACCTGGGATAATGCCAGCATTCTCCATCTCCGGAGTTTGTAGGGACTGAAGGGACGGGGTAACCCGCCCTACGGGAAACTGGGAAGTGTGCCCCATCCATCGGCCCATCTCCCTTCCGTAGGCCCCTCCCAGCGAGAAGCAGCTTCATCAGAGTTAGCGCCTGCGCAGTGAGCGCATCTAAGTGCCACCTCTCGTTCCTTGTTAAAGGTGATCGCTCCCCCCTTTCAAAGAAGCAGAGACCGTCCAGGAGGCTTCAGAGGGCGGGAAGGGGGCCGGGGCGGCTCTGCCTCTGGCCCTCCCCTCCCTCTGCGTTGGAACAGGCCTGTCTCCCTCTGGTCGCAGGGGGCCTTGCCTTTGCCGCCGGCCGAGAAGTGGGGTCAGTCCTGCCGGCACATTGTGCTTCCTCCCCAAACAGCAGAGCAGGTGGGATTTTGCCCAAACCCGTCACTTCCCTGCATCTTCCTCACCGCCCTCCCCCGCCTGTTCCCTCCAACGTGTAGCCCTAACGCGCCGCCTCTCCATTCCACTGCCATCATCCTGGCCCCCGCCACGTCACCCACCATCACCCACTGACATCACCGACATCACCGTCACCCACCGTCACCCAATGACATCACCGTCACCCCCGTCATCACCGTCATGTTCACCAAGCCCATCGCCATCCCCTCTCGGCGGCCCTCCTGCCCACTCAGGCCCCCTGACCCCTAGGAGCTGGTCCCCACGCAGTTTCCAGGGAGATCACAAGTCAACTCAGCCCCCTCCCCGCAGCTGCTCTCCATCTTATTTTCAACAAGGTCCACGCCTCTCCCGGGCCCCTCGGCCTCCCTGAGCTCATCTAGGCCCCTCCCCCGTCACGGCTGCGCCCAGCCACCGGCTCCTCCTTGAACCCATCGCACTCAGCCTTGCTCAGGCCTCAGCACGGCGTTCCCTCTGCCCAGCACACTCCCCCAGACGCCGGCGGGCTGTCCTCTTGTCCTTACTCGGACCTCACCTCCCGTCTCACCTGTCGGAGCCGCTCCTCCAGCTCCCGTCCCACCGGATGGCCCGGGCCGCTTTCCCAGACCACTCGGCACTGGCTGTTCTGGCTACACGTGTGCGCTGGCCGGTGTCCCGTCCCTCCCAACACACCTGCCCACAGAACGGGGCTTCGCCGGCTTTCCCCGCAGCGCCCCGAGCCCGGGCCGTGGGACACCTGCGGGGACACCTGCGGGATGGGTGCGCAGTTCTCCCCGCGGGTCGCCGCCTTCTGCGAGCAGCAGGCGCAGAGTCAGCGGCTCCGTGAGCAGCGCCAACCGCACCTGCGGAAGGCGGTCTCCTCGCTTCCTCCCGACACGCCCCGCGCCGGGGCGGGCAGCACGTTCCACCAGGGCTGGAGGGCGGACAGGACGCACCCAAGTCCCCTTCGCACCTGCACGCACGCACACGCGCTCACACACCTGCACGCACACCCCCCACACATGCACATGCATGCACACGCACACGCACGCACACCCACACACGCGCACACACCTGCACACACACACACACACACACACGCGCGCGCACACACACACGCACACGCACACACAGGCACCCACACACGCACACGCGCACACAGGCACGCACACACGCACACGCACACACAGGCACGCACACCCCACACACGCACACGCACACACAGGCACGCACACCCATACACGCGCGCGCGCACACACAGCACACGTCCGAGGGCTCAAATCCAGGTCCTTCTCGGACTGTAAATGCCAAGAGGACAGAGACTTTGGTCCCCACGGTGTCCTCGGAGCTGATCACGCGCAGACATTGGTTGAGGAAATAAGTGAATAAAGGAAGGAGCAGGCTCCTGGCTGGAAGCCTCTGGGACCAGGAGAACCTGAAACGGCCCATCCCAGCCTCTTGCTCTCCGGCTGCTCGGCTGGGGACCAGAGGGACCCAGCTCTTTGCTCCTCGTCTCCCTGCCCCTGGGTCCCGGGTCCCAGCAGCTCCAGCTCAGGAGGCGCACCCACAACCCAGCCAGGCTCTGGCCCCCGGGCACCTACGCTCACCCTGTCCGTGACCCCCCAGGTTCAAAGATGGAGGCTTTTCTAGGGACTGTGCTCTGGCTTCTCCCTCGGGGTCTGAGTGTGTGGGGTTCACCCAAGAGCAGGCTCGACATGCAGAGTCTCGGGTTCCTCTTGCTGAGTCACCACCTGCAGTGAACCACTGAACCACCTCCCAGGTGAGCTGGGAGCACGGGCGCCCTTGAGGCCCCAGCCTTTTATTGGGGATTCCCAGTGATCCCCAGGTCCCTTGTGAAATACCTTCCTGGGCCCATTCGAGGCCGGGCCCTCCCGAAGCGCAGCCGCCCCCTCCTGAGAGCAGGGCTAGGAGAGGGAACTAACGTCGCGTTCTGCAAACATTTATTAAGCACTTAGGATGTGCCAGGCACAGGACAGGTCCTGAGGACACAGCATGAGTAAGACATTCATTGTGTCCGCCACCCGCCACCCTGTAAAGAAATGACACACAGTGATGATTATGTTGTGAAAAGTGCCAGGCCGAGGGAGTGCTGCTGCCAACAAATCAACTGTGATGGTGGTGTGATGGGGTGGGGGAGGGGCTTTGGAAAGGGGAATCCTGGAAGTCTTCCTGGAGGAGGTGACGTGTGAGCTAAGTCCCAAAGGATAAAGGAGGGGCCACTGCTCTGAGTTGAGTGGGGGAAGGGGTGGGGTGGGGAGAAGGAGCAGGGCAGCAGGTAATTTTTCACGGAGGAAATAACAGGTGAGAAGACCCTCCCCCAGGGAAGGGGGATTGCATTAATTAGAGGAAAGGTGAGTGATTCGCACCACATGGCTGGAGTGCAAGATAGACGGAGAGTGTCAGAGACTAGGTGGGTGGGCCCAGGCCAGGACACGCAGGGACACCAGGGAAGCTGAGGGGGGTTTCGGCCGGGCAATGGCAAAGCCAGCTCTCTGTCCCACCCCTGGTGCAGGGGGTGAGGGCCGCAGCGAGGTGCCGGCCAGAGGCTCTGCTACAGCCCTGCCAGGTCACTAACCTGACCCTGACCACAGGTCTGGAGCTGAGGGTCACTGTCCCCTCCTTCCGAGGTGGCAGGGTGGGGTTGGATGGTACACGTAATGTCTCAGGAAGGGAAGAGACTTGCCCAGGGTCGCTTCGGCCAGGAATGGCCGGATCTGGGACAACTGTGGCGAAGGGAATGGGCGCCTCTGAGGTTCACTGTTTAAGTGTTTTTCTCGTGATTGCCTCACCTAACCCTACCTCAGCCCGTTGATGGAGAGATGGTTATCTGCCCCTTCCCACTGATGAGACAATTGATGCTCAGAGGTCACCTAACATGGTCAAAGTCACTGGGCCAGGGGTGGCAAAGGGCCAGAAATCTGGGCGTCTTACCCCAGAGCCATGTCCCTAACCCCAATGACCCCTGTGGTTGGTTTGGGGTACGAGCCCAACTCTGCTTGACTTCAAAACGCACGTTGCCTCCACTATCCAGGCCCACCTTGCCCTGCTCCACCGCTGTGGACATTTACTGCTTATAAGGGCAAAGGGGAAATAAGAAATAATCTATTTCCTAAAAGGCAGCATAACTGAGCTGTCAGCCGAGGGACTCGAGGCCTAATTTCCAACTTCCATCCCTCTGTTCTTGCTTCTTCCCTAAAAAGAAAGATTCTCCTCTAAAAGTCTCCTGAAAACCAGTCCCCAGGGGTTGGTGCTCACATTGATAGCACACACCATGGAGGCTTCCTGCTCCTAAGATGGAAAGAAAGACAGCAAGAACGGAGCAGTGGGCACTGGGCCTGAGTCTCCTGGCTTTCTCCGTCATCATGGTAACTCATGCAGGCCGGATGGGGTGGGAATCGAGAGAATCAGTGGAGGAAAATGCCACGTGGAGAGCGGCACAGAGGGCTCCTGCCTCCCACCTCCAGCACAGGGACCCTGCTGCCCACTCCTGCCCCCAACCCAGCACAGGGACCCACGCTTTGTAAGAGCATGGACAGTAACTATAGCAACCGCACAACAGGCAGGAAGCTCCTAATAACAGCTAACAGGTATCGAGGACTTGCGCTGGGCTAGACATGGCGCTGACTGCTATCAGCTTAGGGGGCTCCACACTCCGTATGTAATTGTGTAATTGAAAGGAAACTGTTACAATATAGACTAAGTATCAGGAAAGCCAAGGAAGAGACCACTTTTCCTCCCTCATGGTGACTACTGCGTCACTGCCAAACTGCCTCGCCCTGGGAGACACGAACTGGCGACATGACGTGTGTGAAAGGCTGTGTCCTGGTGATGGGGCGTGTGTGTGTGTGTGTGTGTGTGTGTGTGTGTGTGTGTGAAGGGAGGCTTCTGGATATGAAATTGCATTTGATAATTGGATTCTACTTCCCTCTCTCCCCATAACCCCTCTTACTCCCTGCCCCATCCCTTCCCCTAGAAGGGGGCTGCTGGCCCCCACTTAAGTAGGACGCCTTAGGGGACTAAATCCGAATCCCATTTGCATCCCCTCCAATTTTAGAATTTTGTGCTTGGTCTCGGTTAGATTTTAATTCTTCGGATGGAAAGAAGAAGTTGCCGATGACTCGATTTGGCTGTGGCCTCATGTCCCCCTCGGAAGGGCGCGTTGCTGCAAATCTCCGCTCCAACATCGAAGCTGGTCCTCCTGGGCCCCGTAGCATCGCATCTGTCAGGAACAGCTGTTCTGCTGCGGCAGCGGCCAGAGCTGCACCAGGGCTCCGGTGCCTAAAAAAGGCAACGCTTCTTTCTTTTTAAATATATGTATAGAAATAATCAGGCACACAAATTCTCTGCAGATATCTGGTTCAATGATTCTGACACTCAGTCCAGAAGCTACATATCCAAGCGCTGTTTCACAGCTCACCGGGCACACCAGCGAGGCCGCTCTCCCGCCCCTCTGCGCGGCGGGGCTGGTTTTCTGAGATTACAAGGGGGTTGGGGGGGGGTGTGTGCAGAGGCGCGAAGTACGAGATGCGTGAGAAGAGGCTTGATTTCTGCACAGAACGTGTTCAATTATGATTCTACAGAAAGAAGCAAAACGCTTCCTCCTTGGTGGGGTTTTCCTTGAATCTAAGAAAAACCCAATGAATATATGTATAGATGTATCTAAATCTATCTGCCTGCCTACCTATCCACCCATCCATTCACCCACCTATCCATCCACCCACCTGTCCATCTATCCACCCATCCACCCACCCACCTGTCCATCCATCCACCTGTCCATCTATCTATCCACCCATCCACCCACCCACCTGTCCATCCACCCACCTGTCCATCTATCTATCCACCCATCCATCCCTGCCTCCATCCACCTATCTATCTCTGCCTCTATCCACCCATCCATCCACCCACCTGTCCATCTATCTATCCACCCATCCATCCCTGCCTCCATTCATCCACCTATCCATCTCTGCCTCTATCCACTCATCCATCCACCCACCTGTCCATCCATCCACCTGTCCATCTATCTATCCACCCATCCATCCCTGCCTCCATTCACCTATCCATCTCTGCCTCTATCCACCCATCCATCCACCCACCTGTCCATCCATCCACCTGTTCATCCATCCCTGCTCCATTCATCCACCCATCCACCCACCCACCTGCCCATCCAGACATTCTTTCTTGGCACCCATGTGACTTTGGTCAGTAGGTCAGTATGTTTCCTCTTCCAGAACCAAAGCACGTCTCACTCCCCTGACAATTTAGTGGGTGACATTATGACCATAAGGAGTAGCACTCACATTATTGTTAAAGGCATCCTGGCCAAACTAAGTCCTGCGGAGGGAGATGGTGTTCCAACGGGTTTGTAAAGTGATCGCATCCTTTCAGTACAACTTCTCTGTGCCCGTGTTTGAATCCTGGCTTTGCAGGCTGGTTACCCGTTCTGAATCGTGGCCACCTTAGAATGAGCACTGACAGTACCCATCTTACGGGGATAGGGAGGAAGAAAAGAGAAGCGATAGCAGGAAGCCCTGGTGCTGGGTCAGCACTCCGTCCATGCTAGCGGTGGCTGTTGCGGTTGCTATTATTATTCATTATTGTTCTCACTCCACAACTGATGGTTTCTGGAAGTTTGGGGTTTATAGTCCTTGTTTCCCGCAGTGAGGCAGACCAGAAGTGCAGAGGTAGACTTGAGCTACTCAAGCTTGACAGACCAAAGAGCTTCACCTGGCCCCCCCGCACCCCCCTCCCAACTCCATGACCTTGGGCCAATCCCGTAACCAAAAGTCAGTTCTTAGGGAGCAAGTGCCTCATGCGAGGACTCACAATCCTAGCAAACTTCGTCTCATCACCCTATCTCTACAACTTCGAATGATAGCGTGCACCCAGATGAGGCTCAGAAATGAAATGTTTGTTTTAAAAACAAATCCAACGTAAACAAGCGGCCTGCTGCTGCTCCAGGGGCAGGGAGGTGGACAGGGGGAGACTGTGGGGTTTGGCAGGTGGGGCCTGACTCCAGGCCCCCTTCCGAGCCCCTCAGCTGCTCCCTGTGATAGTTCTGTATTCCGTTCAGCACAGCAGGTCCTCAACGCCTTTCATTCAATGTTGTTTTGTTATAATGTTGACGAGACCTGCAGGGACTTAGTGTTTGTTTATGCCAAGGAGCCAGTGGTAAAGCCCTTTCCTTATACATTGTTTTGCTTAGAGTCAGGGAACCTGCGACGAGGCTGAGTGAGGACTCGCTGTACCTTATGGGGTCTAACCGTGCAAATGCATGAATGCAAGTGCCCACGACACCAGGGATCAGCCGGTATGTCTCCTCTTCCAGAACCAACGCATCCTGTCATTGCAGAATCAGGAACGCTGAGAACCCCGACCCGTGGGGCCGCCCCACATCCCTGCAGCAGGCCACACGCTCCGCCTGAGTTAAACACACGGGGCGGCTCCATTTCTCTCAGATTCGAGCGGGGAATGACGCCTCCATTCATCCCAACGAGGAGCCCCAGTCGCCTAGGATCCTGCCCGAAACCTCCCGTGTGCTTCCCCGACCTCAGGTGCTGCGGCTCTTCCTGGGCAGCTTATTTTAGAGCGAGTTTTCGATGCCCTCGTGTCTTTAGTGGGTCCGGGGCGGTCGCTCTTGGGCATGTTTTTTCTTCTCTCTTTCGGTGTTGGAAGGGGAGGGGGTGGCAGAGTTGAAAATAACCTCTTTACAATGGTGACATTTGCTTGGTCACATTGACGTTTTTTATGGTAGCACAGCCCTGCTGACCGGAATAGAACCCATTCTTCTCACTGATCCACCCCCTCCCCGCCCCCCCCCGCCCCCCACCACCACCCATGCCAGTGTTCTCTGACATGGAGTCGGATTATCTGCAGGAGAAAACACAGGTGGGTTGCACACACCGAATTTGGACGCTGCTGTTTCACTTTAAACTTCCTTGAGACAAACTGTACTTTTCCAACCTCCACCCCACTGAGTCAGTGACACACTTCTTTCCCACCAGCCAACAAGACACCCAACTTGACTAGAAAGAGATTCAAACTGAAAATATCCCAACAAGACGCAGGCGTGCCAAACCACATGTCCTCTAAGAAGAGGCTGATTTGGTTCCGCTAGAGTGAGTTCTCAGCAGGGCACAGATGTTCCTTTTCTGCATTCTTAGAGCTTATTGGAAGTGCACGGGGGTGGGGTGATGCTGGGGCACGTTTGCAAAAGGAAAGTTTTGCAGGAGGGAAGTGATATGTGATCAGAGACAGAAAGCCTATCACGGAACGGCAGTCAAAGCCGGATTGCCTTGGGATGTGTGGCACCCATACGAAATGAAGGGCGGAGTCCTGGCCGGTGTAGCTCAGTTGTTAGAGTGCCGGCCCATGCACCATAGGGTCCCGGGTTCCATTCCTGGTCAAGGGCACATACTCGGGTTGCAGGTTCAAACCCCAGCCCCAGTTGGAGCGCTTGTAGGAGGCAACCAATCCATGTGTGTCTCTCATATTGATGTTCCTCTCTCCCTCCCTTCCTCCCTCCCTCTCTCTAAAAATCAATGGGGAAAATATCCTCGGGTGAGGGTTCAAACAAACAAACAAAAACAAAAAGAAACAAGGGCTGGTCTGGCCAGGGAGTCGCGTGATCAGAATGGCTTTGATGAACCAACGTGACGGTGTATCTGCGAAGAACTTCTCTCTTTCCTTCCGAGTGGGAGTGAGGAAGAGGGAAACTGGAGCTGAATTGGAAATGGGACGGGGGTCGAGCTAGGCAGCTGCGTGGAACCGCAGTGAAGTTCAGTGTGGACAACGGCACCAGCTCCGGACGTGACCAGCAGAGCCCTTGCCGCACAGGAAGGGAAGTGGGGCTCTAGGGCTCCTGGCACCAGGGAACACGATGGAGCCGGAGCCGTTACCTGTCAATAGCCTGGAGTCAAAGAAACGTGGGGCAGACTCCCAACAACGCAAGCAGGCCCTTTCCGTTAGGGCCCTCGGGCCTTACTCACCTAATGGCCTAGGGCTTCCCGGGGAGCAGGGCCTTGTTTCCTAAGCGTACTTCATGACACAACTCCTTTTTTGTCATTTTCTTGCCGTAAGGACTACCTTAGTGCTCTGAAGAGTATAATTGGCCAGATAAATATTAGAGTTTCTTGCGTCCATTATTCTGTTATTACATATGTCAGGGAAAAAAAATGACCCTGGAAATGTTAACTCATTTTGTTAGTTAAAATCAGGAATTCTTTTGTCCCTTAATTTTTAAAATCAGGAATTTCCTTTTCCTGTGACTTTTGGTCACACTTTAAGGGAGTGTTTCTCAAACAAACAAAAAAAGAAAAAAATTCCTAAAAAAATTACTTATTTTCTTTCTGAACTGGGTGTGGATACAAACCCATTAGCAACAAAGGTTATGAAGTACCTTGATTATTAAGGATGGTTGGGGATGGGGCAGAGAGCTTTCCCGGTGGGTGGGGCTAGGTGAACTCCCAGTAAGCTCAGCCCAGACAGCTCCGCACACCCTTCCGGATGCACCACTCCGATCCTGACGCCGGGTGCAGTGCACCTACACATTCCTTCACCACATAGTTGCTACAGCACTTGCCTAAAATAAACATTTCCTGAAATAAGACTAAATCGACTCATAGTACCCCCCCACCCCAAGGGCTGAAGCCACCTCAGGATGCCTTGGAATGCTATGGGCTGGGGGGGGGGGGTGCTCCACTGAACTTTGAGCCTAAGTTTTGCTAATGACAGGTAAGTTTTAGCTATTGCCAGCTGTGACCTGGTCCTCCGGGGGAGCCTCCGCGCTGCTGGCTCAATCCTCAGGAGGCCCTGTAGTGGGAAAGTTGCATATTGGGAAAGACAATTTAGAAGCAGAAGACCTCTAAGTCCGTCTGTCTCAGGACAACTGCTGCTCCTTCTAGTCTCAAGAATACTATATCCAAGGTAAAAAAGAGCCGAAGTTAAATTTGGCAAAACGGGGCCAAATTTCCCAGCGTGGTACTTTCTGTTAAAAGTTTGAAAATGCAGCGTGAAATAGAAATACCGACACATGACAGCACTCGGCAGCTCACAATTACTGAACCAAAACAAATATAAGACTTTTAACTCACGTGGCATAGAGGTGAGAATCTCCGAGGCCATGCCCTATGACCTTAGGATCTAGGGAGGAACCGAAAGTCAAAGGAGACTTGCGAACCAGGGGCCTCTGGGAGCTTGGCAGAAACCCAGACTCTCCATTCACAAAGGCCCTTTGTCGACCTCCCGGACACCGACCTCCCCCAGCAAACACCTGCTCCCTCACTGTTACTGGACAGTTGGCCTGAAGCAGATCCTGGGCTAAGGCCTCGGAACACACTCCAGACTCCGGATGAGAAGACCTGTGCGGGGCAGCATGGGAACTGACATTCATGGGCCCGCATGGCTGTGCGCGCTCACCAGCAGTGCTCACGTGACCGGGCATCGCTCCTGACCGCTCATTCTGTCATGGCCCAGGAATATATTCTTAATATTTATAAAATGTTATTTTCCCAACCATGGAAGCATAACCTACTTATGTTGAAAATAAATAAGTATATTAAAAGAAAGCTGAGTTAAAAGTTTTATTCATTCAACATCTCACATTACAAATATTTAAAAATTATATGCATACTGGTATAAATAGTCATTTGCAAACTATTTAATAACATTAATTTTCCACTAGCACTTCAACAAATGAACTCTTTTTAAAAAGGAACTGTGTTATATAACTTAAGAGTAGAACATACAAAAATAGGAACTTAACGTGAAAATGACTTTAATAAAAAATGAATTACCCTTATTTAAAATGCTATAATAAATACTACAACCTCCCCATACACAGTAAAAACTATATGGAAATTCAGCCAAGTAGTACAATTAACTGACATACTTAAATAACTTTTCCTTCTGATAATATGAGCAATACACTGGGGAAAAAAACATTAGGGATTAGTAAAAACTAGACACCCACTTGCTAAAAGTTTCACTTCCAAAAAATATAACAAAAATCTGATGAAAATTATAAAAACTAATTATACTTTAAATTTTAAAAATATAAAAAATAAAACAGTTGAATACAATATTGTCCCAATTCTTACAATGCTATCAGTCACAGTAGCTTTAAAATAAGATAATAAAATAAAGCAAATGACCAAAACCTCTTTTATTCCATTTTTAAAAATAATCTCAAATTTACATTAGTAGAAAGATTGATTTCTGATTCTTTTCTTTAGAAACACCAACAAGAAAGAGGATTACTCTTAACAGTAGAAAATGACATTTTTAAATGTCTGCAATTAAAAACAAAGAATTACACTGCAAAGATCTTTCAAAAGTTTGAAATAAGTATTGCACATAACTTGAAGTTAACTTGCCACAATTCATCACATTCAAGTTTCAAATCACCTTTTAACAGAAGATTCAACTCTTCAAAACAAAAGGGGTGAGTTATCAAGTCTTTCCAACAGCACTCTCATCAAATGCTAAATTCATTCACTGCAAGTTTTAGTTTGCATTCTGCAGAGGTCTGTGTATGGAGAAGTATATATATTATACCAAAGCGTGGGGACCAGAAGGAGGAGGGAGAGGGCTCCTTTACATAGAAAATAATCAGAAACACTTTATTTTACATTGCAAAAATAACCATGTAATTACTCTGTAACTACATTGTAAGTACATGGCTGGTGCCATGCTAGTGCGCTAGAACTACATGCTTGGTAAATTGAAGTGATACCCTAAAATCTGTAAACTAATTACATGTTAATTATGTTTTGAGTTACATGGTAACTCCCAACTACAATCCCATGTAATCTGAAGGACATGTAATCGATAAAGTTCAGAGTAATAGATAATAATTGTTTATGCCCTGTAAATTGAAGTGTAACCAAATAATCTGTAAACACACTTGTCACACAATCACAAGTAAATATTAGTAGAATAGCGATTTCTTACATTAGTCATGCATACTAACATTACACACCTGTCCCACGGCAGGCTGGTTTTTTCCTTTATATATAATTTAAAAGAGCAGACATCTCTGAATCAAACACTTAACATCAATTTATTAATATTAAAAATGGCTAAACATTCACCAAAAAATGTCTGCGTTATGAATAATTTTAAAAACTTAGTAAGAAGCTGTAGACAATTTTGTCATTTTAAATTTCTACCCTATGCTTATGCATTTAATTTTTTTTTTAGGAACTACAGTGTTATCTGTCATTTTCATGCGAATTTTTTTCATTAATTTGTGACTTCACATAGACTATCTCTTAAATTCTAGGTCCACCAACAGCTGGTGCTGGGAAGGATGTTTAAGCAACATGCTTTCTCTTTTCTGCAGACTCTAAAATAGCATTGCCAGTGCACAACATCCATAATTCAAAATGTATGCAGAGCACTGAAATGTATAAAAAGCAGAATATAAGAAAATAAAATTTATTAAAATTATTTATATTAAAAAATGAAGTATATGAAGATCTCTCAGTAATAAAAGTACAAAAAGCTACTCTTTGCAATATGAAAAATTGAGGTATTGCATAAAGAGATATCCCGTCAGTGAAAAGTGTGCCTAAAAATGTTCACTGTTGGAAAAACAAGATATACAAAAGTAGTGCATAACAAATATACATTATGTGCATGACAAAATAAGTTAGCTACAAAACACTGTACCGAAATTCAGCAGGTCATGTACAAAGGGAAAAATTATTATTCAAAGCTAGTTCTCAAACAGTGTTATTTCTTGTTAACTCATCACACCTGTTTACTGAGTAGGAACAGCACAATAGCACACCCCAAGACGCCTACAAGCGTTGAAAAGAAGAAAAAGAGGCAAATGAACATTCCACTTAGGATTATGTAGTTCAGGAGAAAAGAAAGTCCCTGACCAGCTACACGAGAGCACCCTCCGTCCACGTGGCTGCTTCCGGCCTTCGCAGGGGGCCCTGGAAGCAGCTCCCGCTCTGTGTTGGACTACTAGACAGCAAATGCCTCCATTTTGACCTTTGGAACTGCACAGGTATAGCGTTCATTAAAGCCTGTATTCAAATAAAGGACTGCTTTTCCTAAAGACAATCGGTAGGGGCATCAGCCAGGTGGTTCCACCGTAGTGCTGGGGCAAGTCTTTGGTTTTGAAGGATCCAAGATGGTACTGTTAGGTAGCACAACTAGCAAGATTGCCATTATGTTTTTTTAAAACGTTTTGCACACTGATGATAATCTTTTTAATGGTGGATAGGGCATTTAATAAGATAAAGTCAATTAAAATCAAAGTTACTTCCAAGACCAGGGCTTCAAGAGACTATTTTAAATTCACCCCTGAAGCATACTGTCCACACATAAGAATGCCTTTCCGAGCTAGGATTTTATTTATAATAAAGCATGCATTACTCGACGAAGTTGGCACTTCAAACACTGACTATGTCCCATGCTCAGTTCTGAAACTGTAACGGTATCTTATTTTATAGGAAGAGGAAGATAAACATACGGACCTTTGCAGATTCACACAGTTACTTAGTTCAACAGTGCAGAACACTTTGCAACTACTCAACTTTTTTTTTAAATTTTTTTTTCATTTTCTATGTTACAACTAAATTACAGGATACCCAGAGTAACTTTAAATCTAAAAGTAAGCCAATCAGCAGCCAATTAGTGTATTGATTTTGTCTTCCAGTTTTGGCTACAAGTGTATTTTAACACAAAATCAAAAGGACATCCTTGAGGTAACGTCAAAATGGAGAGCAAAGGCTGACACCTGATGAGTGTTAGTAAATTAGGATAGAGTTTATCTAGAACATCAAAAATAAAATGTAGCTACTTGTCCTTCGGGAGAGGAAATGCTACTTTTTCCACCAGTTGTCGTGAACTCTAGCTTTGGTAGGTTTCCTAGGGCTGTGACCAGATAAGTAAGTTTAAAAATAAATAAGTGCACTCCCCTCAGTAGTCAATTTCCCCAATTTTTACATTCTACATGTTCACAATTGTTTAAAAGAAAATAAACCTAGATCTGCCTACTTGACTGCTTCTGATGTGGAAGTAACTCCGAGGCAGGATGAAATTAGATTCGGCCTCTGAACCCTTCAATGAGTGAGAGGCTGCTTCAATCTTGCTCATGCATCTGCGTTCGCTTTAACATGCTATTTCCTGTTAGTAATTGTTAACTTCCTCCCCTGCCTGTAAAAGAACAGAAAGGGGATGGAAACAGAGAGAGGCAACAAGACGAAAGAAAAGAAAGAAAAAGGCAGAAGCGTTTCCCGGGAGACAAAATGTGTCAGGATAGACTAATAGTGTTATTGTTGCATGGTTATTTTAATAAAAGTATTCTTATATGTTATATTATTAACAATAATTTAATTAAAAACCCAAAATACTCTATCATTTCATTTCTCTCTTAATCTCTCTCTCTCCTCTAAGAAAATGTTGCGGGAAGTATGGATCCTCTTGCTCTCCAGCAAGAGTATGAAACTTCCAGGCAACATGATGGCGATAGGAAAAAGGAGCTCATACATATTGTTTTCAGTGACACAAGAATCTACAAAACACCTCTAGTATAGGCCATTCTTTCATTATACTATTGTGAAGTGAGACTGCTACAGAGGGCATGCCAGCGTGAAGAGGCTGAGGAGGGGCAGAATGAACAGAAGAGTGCACTTATTCTGAGGCCTGAACACGAGCACTGTCGTTCTCTAGTTCCAGCGGAATGAGATATGCCGAGGACGGTCCCCGCCCTCCTTCACCAGGGGCTTGTGGAACTCCCTGCCAGCACGAGAATGAATAGCAGCCCAGCAATATTCACAGTAATACTGCAGACAGGTAACGTTAGCGCAGAAGAATGGAGCAAACTTTCCCCCGCAACGGGCCCCCTGACATTCATCACACAGCTGATCATCCAAGACGTATGGCTTCACTTCCACCTGCAACCAAAATAAAAGGGAGGTGGTTATGTTTTCCGTGACACCGCCAGGCCACTCTTCCTTCCTGTGCGCACGCATTTCCATCACTGTCTGAACGGCTCTGCCAAGATGCCCCACAGTCTCTTATTGAAATTAAGAGAGTCCATCTTTAAGAACCCGGTCAGGTTTTTATACCCATCATTTTACATTTTTGGCATATTAAATCAACACTTTTCAAAGGCAAAAAGAATTCCACAGAAATAAAGTGAAGGCAGCTGAGCATTATGAAATTAAACCCCCGGGAGAATTTTCACAGACACACACCAGCATTTTAATTAGTGGACTTGGTTGTTCATTATATGTGGAATTATAGTTTAAACAAACCCAACTAAGAGCTTCCCGCTCCACAAAATAGCCCTTCGCTAGTCAAACCCTGACTTCCATGGCGGCTTCTGAGTGGTAATCAAGCCTGGCTGTGGCTTCTGTTCACAGCGCACACATCTTGATTAGAATTGCAAAGCTGCTACTCTGGGAACCCACATGCAGCTACTTTACTCACAATCTCCAGCCCTGCACCCTCCTGTCAGTAGGAAGGGTTTACTTGAGTCTAAAAGCCAAAGGTGCATTTAGGAACTGGGCCCGCTCCAGTGTTCAATAGGCTGCCTGTTATTTGAGCCTCTCGAGTATTAAAAATAACCTGGCTATTAATTCGCCAGTGGGAATAACGTGGTTGTTTTTAGTCTTGGACTCGTGGTTGAAACTCCCTTATACCAGATTGTCGTTAACGCCGGTGCCATCCAGTTCTGACAAAGGGGAGCCGGGACCAACAGGAGAAGGGTGACAGGGGAGACAGAGGGGCAGGCAGAACTAGAGCACTAGGAGGCCATGCCAGAACTCTACAGAGAGCAAGAGCACTGGTCGGAGAACTGGATCAGAGGAGTAAAAATGAAGTCTCAATTTCTAATGACTAACCTCACAACTCTGACACCTGTGTTGGAATGAAGCAGTGGAGCCAGAGACTGTTTACTCAGATGTACTCATTTTTCAGTGTGACTCAAACACAGGAGGCCTGTCACTGTGGCTAACACTGCACCTTCCTCCTTCACAACAGAATCCACACCCTTCTCTTTAAGCTGGTCAGCATGACGGCACTATGACCTGACAGTCAGTACTGCCTCTGACACAGAATATACATGACACGAAGCATGAACAGTGTGTGTAAGCCACTACTGCCTGGGTGGATTCTACACGCCGACTCGAGAAGAGCACATCTACCCATCCTTGGGAGCACAACGCCTCAGAGCGCTGGGCATCCCAGCCAGGCCTCAGAAAGGTGCCGTCTGCCAGGAAACAAGGAGCCCACATGAATGCAAATCAACGCATTGTTTCCTCCACATCCACAGGGTCTGTCTAGGAAAAAAGTCAGTTGAACTAAACACTGCTCCCCAGAGCGGCCGCTTCACACTGTGTACATTCTTATCTCAGCACAAACTAGGAACAAACCGTCTGCCTACTGGCCATCGGCACAGGCCACACTATCTACCAGACCATGAACTCCTGAGGACAGGGACTTCTTGTCCTTGGCACGAAAACATTTGTTGAACGCATGGAATACAAAGATAAGAAATGAATCTGTGAATGCAAAGAAATAAGATACATAATGGAATGTTTCAAATACATTAGAAAGTAGAGGGCAAAGCTATCTTTGTGGTTTTCTCCAGCCCTTTGATTCAGAAGAGAAACCCCACGAAGAGGAGTGTGAGGTGCTGGAAACAATGCTGACAGCTCCCACCTCGCTCCAGGCAGGACAGGCCACAGATGGAGAGACTGTGACTTCTTCTACCTAATCTGTTATAATGAACTATTTCTAAGACATGCAGACCTAGAAGTAAATTTATTCAATCATTTGTCACACAGTGCACTGGAAAGCAGGGCTCACTAAGGTCCTAATGTCCCAGGATGAAAAAATGTCAGGAGACCTCAAGGACATTCATGTTTGTACACTTGCTAAAACATAGCCGGAAGGATTTGGTAAATATTGAATGATTGACTAACTGAAGAAATGAATGGATCTAGGTGATAGCTTAGGAAAAATTAAATTGATAAGTAAACTGATACAGGGTTCTGGTTAGGCTACTCAAACACGCATACAGAAGCAATTCCTAGGAAATTCCTACATGTATTATAGAACATACACCCAGAGGTCCTACAGGCATAACTGTCAGCTGTCAATTTTTGGTCATATAAGATTTCCCCATCCAATCTGGTAATGACACAGTTAGAGGGCCATCTCTAGAACTTTCCAGAACGCAGTCTAGGACTTACCCGTTTATCTATCTCTCCATGCTGCAGCTGAACAAAGCGGGCACTGATAGCAGCTATGTAACTCTGTTGATTAGAGAAGGCGACTCGCCCGGCTCCTTTTGGGTACTTCAGCTCAGGGTCGGTATCGATCCCAGCATAGCACACACCTCCATACAGCCGATCCATTATCATGGCAAGCTCCACTAAATAAGAAAGACGCAGAGAGGGGATCTGAAATCAGGAAGACTCAGCTGGCTCACCAACGGTTTCATCAAAAGCAGCTCATCTGCACTCTGAGCTCATGTCATTATAATTATTCAAATCAAGCGTTATTATAACCAGTTGTCCATTTATCTTTTAACTAAGGGCAAGGGCTCTGCTAGATATTTTACTTATGTTCTCTTTTCATCTCCACAGCAACCCTATGAAGTAGGCAGTAATTTCTTGGGGAAACTGAGGCACGGAGATGATCACTCAGTCCAAGGTCACAGGCGGTTGAGTGGCACTGCTGGGCTTGGCACCATGGTCTATACCACGTTGCTGCCATATATTTACTGGTTAGCAAGGTCTGGCTTAGTATAAATAATCATTTCAACACTAGAAAACTGATTTGGTAAGCTCTTTGTTTGGAGGCCCTTCTGGCTTTTTCCATCAAAATCTTGTGACCTTTCCCCACAGGCTAGCTATTTGCCAATTTCTCATATAAAAACTTGAAATAACGAATGTATCACTTTCTCCATTATATGTTACAATTCTGAAACTGCATTCTTGTTCATTTTCTGATCTTTATCGTACTTATACTACCAAACCTCAAATGAGGTGATGGGGATGAAATTTCTTCTGTTAGCACTATGCTAAAAACACGATACACTGCTGGGACCCATATTATATTTCAGAGCCCAGCAAGCAGCTGATAAGCAAACGAGGACATGGGAAACAAACACTAAACATCGCAATCCAGCATCTGTTCTTGAAGGGCGTCGTTTATTTTCCGACGATGATGAGAGTGATGGTCATGGGCATTATAAGAAGCTGCACTAAGCATCCTGCATTGGTTATCTCACTTAACCCTCAAATCAGCTCTATAGAAAGGAGATACACTTACTACTCCCTTTGACAGACGAGGACATTGAGAATTAGAGAAATTAAGCAATTGTCCAAGGTCACTCAACTATTAACTGAGAGCAGAGCACATGAATTCAAACCCAGACACTTTGATTCCAGAACTCTCACTCTTAGACATTAACTCAACTGCTTAAGGGAGAATTTATCCCGAGAAACCTTTATAAAATACATCTTATGCTAAAGGGTGAGGAAGGTCTTTTGGTTTAATCATACCTGCCCGTAATGGTCGAGGAACACCACCAACAAATATAGTTTTTCGTGGGTCAAGAGGCTGTGAACCATCCATCACAAAGTCACTGTCACTGAGGTTCCAAGGCCGAATCTGTACCTGGGGAGTGTGCAAACCCAAAGGTCTCATTCTCAGTACAATTTGTGGGGGGAAATGTTTAAAACTGTTGCAGAGTATTTTATATTTTTAAAACAATAATTCACATCATTAAAAGCAATAAAGCTGTAAAACTAGAAAATATTTAAAAATAGTGTATCCTAACCCTGCATTTCATTTTTAAGAGTAAACTGAACAAAGGTGAAAATGTGATGCCTATTAGAAGCTAAATCTATTATTCAGAGGAAACTCGGCTACTTTATCAAATGCATTATCAGGTGAAGTCTTTTAATAGTAAAGATTTACCAATGTTTTAATTAATCAAAAGTTCAATGGCCAAATAATATGCACAAATATACAGAATGTCAATGTTAGGAGCTTGACAACAGTAACAAAACTTCATTCCCAGTCTACTTACAAACATGTCAATGAATAGAAACATCAAGATGCTGTGGGTTTTTCAAACAGAGTAGAGATGGAGGCAGAAACCAGAAGCTATTCTCATGCTGGAATGCACTTACTGGTTTGTCTTTGATAGTGGGACTTGAGACACACAGGTAGAGCTTCCCATCTTCTTCAATACACGCATCAATGAGAGCCTGGACAGAGCTTTCATCTTGAAATAGCAGGAATGCATAGCCTGGTGAAAAGGGGGGGAAAGGCGTAGACGTTCTCCTAATTATTATTATTATTTTTTTTGCAACATTTCAAGAGAAAGGAAATATAAACTAAAACTAATGAAGGGGAAAGGAGTTCAATTTCTTTTTAATTAAAACAATATTCATACCTAAAGTCTGATATCAACATTAAGTTCAGTTTGATATCTTGAAACATCTTTTAGAGTAAAATTAAATTTGAATTGAAAGTAACATATTAGGTAGAAATTTTAAAGATGCATTTGGGAAAATAGAAGTTTAACAATGGGAAATTTTACACTGAAGGCAAACATTTATGAAAATGGTAAACATTAAACAATAAAAGGACAAATGTACATGGTATATTGAATCTTGAGAATTACCTTTAGGAGGAAAATAGGATTTGCTCTCTGCCTTATGAGGCCAATCCACAATTAAAGGGCCAAAGCGACGGAAACTAGCTGTGATCTCATCTAATAAACAAAGCAAAATAGATTTCAATATTTTTGTGATCATTTTTAGGAATTAGTTTAGAAAAAACAGTTTCAAATCTCCTATTTACATAACAGTACAAAAAAGTCCCCCCTCAAAAAACAAAAACAAACAAAAAACAACTCCCGCATCCCTTCATCTAGACTCCCCAACTGTTAATATTGTGCACAATTGCCTCTTCCCTTCCTCCTACCTGTACCTTTACATGAGTCAAGCTATTTACCTGTCTACCCACCACCTATCATCTTTTTCTGACATGATGCTCTATATCCCATAATGCAACTGTTGTGACCTCCTCAACGAGGTCACTTCCTTATGTACTACCACACAGCACTCCGATCAGGAAGTCAGTACTGATACAATGCCCACATCACAGACTTTATCCCAACAGCATCTCTCTTTTCCCTTCTGATCCAGAACACGTGCTGTATTTGGACAGCATGTCCCTAGGGCCGTGGTCAGCAAACTGCGGCTCTCAAACCACATGCAGCTCTTTGGCCCCTTGAGTGTGGCTCTTCCTAGGCCTTAGGAGTACCCTAATTAAGTTAATAACAATGTACCTACCTATATAGCTTAAGTTTAAAAAATTTGGCTCTCAAAAGAAATTTCAATTGTTGTACTGTTGATATTTGGCTCTGTTGACTAATGAGTTTGCCGACCACTGCCCTAGGGCATCATCTTCTTCAATTTGGAACAGATCCTCATTCTTTCTTGTCTTTTATGTGCTTGACAGTTTTAAAGTACGCAGGCCAGTTATTGTGTAGACAATGCTCGCCTGTCCGTACTGTTTCCCTGTGACCATAAGCATGCTGTGCATTCTAAACAGAATTCCCACCTTTATAATGCCAATCCATCCTGTCTTAATTGGGCATGTGAAGCTTGATTACCTGGTCAAGTTCATCTCTGCCCACTTGGTGTTGTGTTACCCACCAATATTACATTTCCTCATCAACTGTGGCATCCACTAAAGACTCCGGCCTGCACCAGCTACCACAATGAGAGTCCACATCTTTTTGGAAAATACATAACTGCATTTGGCCAAGGAAGCACACACAGACAAAAATGCAGTTAGCACTTATGTCTTCCCTCAACACAATCCTTGAGTTTTCCGTGATGTCTGCTCCTTTTCCTTTCGTCTGATCATTTGCTTCTGCTGGTTCCTAAAGTCCTGCCCCCACCCCCTTCCTTCTGTGAACTAATGGTATAGGCTGCGATAGGAAGATACGAAAAGAGAACAGTGCAATCAAATCAGAATACCTGGAGCCAGGTAAGATTGTTGTTATCATAAGAGTGACCTCTATCTATGAGTTTCCTACTGTGTGCCACAGCCTGGGCACTGGGCTCTGGATGCTTCTTTCTAAATATACCTTCATCGATGTCAGGAGGCAATCCGCCCACAAACACCTTGCGAGAATATCGCTCCACTCTTTCTCCATTCTGGTGAGTGAAGCAGTGAGGTGAACCCAGGCCACTATGAAGAGGTTGATCCCCGCGGCCATCATCCAAAAACCCATCTTCCATTGGAAACAGTGAAGACTGACCTGGAATAGAAAGCAGGAAGAAAGCTAACAGAAAATGTTCCAGGCCACTGGTTATCCTGCACAACAAACAAGGCAAGCAGCTGATTCAATAAAATTGCGGCTTTTCGTTTTCTCACTGAATAACAAATAGCACCACTGCGATATGCTCTTGAACTCCCATCACCTTCAAGTCCCAACTGAGTCAGAGAGAAAGGACATGGTTAAATAGAGGGCTGCTCAGTTATCCCTCTGGGATCCAGTGAGGTGGATGGAAGTGCAGCAGGAGAGAGCACTCCTTTGAAAGCAGTTGGCAGCGCACAGCAGTGCCTTGGCAGGGCCCCACGGCCACTGGCAACCTAGACGTGTACACTGAGTATTAGATTCGACTGTCAGATGCTAGATCACTAAAACTTTAAAGAAAACAACAATAATATGGCCTGCACAATCTCCTCTAAGAATGTCCTTAAAATGAACGTGTTGATTTTTAAAGTGAGCACTCATCTTAGTTACATTAACTAATGGGATACAACTAAACCCACTTAATGCTATTATCTAACTTCATTGTCTGGTCTAAGAATTTGAGATTTTTAGGCATGCTAAAGACGTATTTTCTTTCAGTTGAGTAATCATCTGCTACAGTGCTATCTAATTCTAACAACTAGTTATCAAGTTTGATGTTGAAAATCCTATCTAGAATATATAAGCAGCAAAGACCAGAGATGCCAGTGTTTGTATTCTTCCCATATTGACCTGACAGCAAAATTCAAACTTTGAAATCATGAGCAAAACACAGAGCTACAAGTAAGTGCAGAATCTCCCCCGCACTGGCCACTGCCCAGGCTGCCAATCACGTCTAGGTCCTGCACAAGGAGCTCCTTAATGGGTCCTGCAGAAATGCTCTCAAGTGCTCTTCCTTCACGAAAACATTCCAATGTCCTTTGGCTGCCACACTTCTCCTCCTTGCACCTTTCACTACTAAACACAAATAATAACAGTATATTTGTTATCCTGTAAAATCACAGCTCAAAGAGATTATATAATGAAGACTAAAAAATGACTATAAAATTGGAGGCTATTTCCTGAAGGATCTTCAAAAATCACTTACATTTTGAAGCGGAGCTGACTCTAAAATTCTCTAAAATTTCTAGAGCTTTCACCCAATGTTTCAAATGTATACGATTAGCTACTTATATAGCTAATCACCTTTTAAACCAAATGCATTTTGCTGACTTGGTTAAAAAAAAAAGTAAACAAGGTATTCAAGTATAATTGAACTTCTAATATACTCAGGTATTTGAGATGATTGGGGCTGTATTTTCTTTTTTAAAGAGTCTTAACTTTTTTCTCCTAAGAAATTCATTTTAGAAAGAAAAAAAGGAAACAAATCTTTATATATAAATAAGTTGACTTTATAACATAATATAGGAAAATTATTTTGGTTCACATCCAAATTCTACCATTTGACTCCTTAAAACGAGAATGTCTACAATGTTAACTACAATGAATAAAGTATCTATGAATCAAGCCTAGGTTTCATTCACCCACCCGCTGCCCCATGAGGGTTAGAAGTTGAACAAACTTGGATCCTCTCCAAATACAACTATACATTCAAAAGTTAGAAACAATAATGTTACCTCTCCTTCGCCCATATGTCCTTGCTGCATGTCAAATGAGAAAAAAAAACACACAACCTTTCAAACATTGTCAAAAGGATCAATTGTGATTTCATCTACCAGCTTTGTAATTGAAAAAGATTGGCTATATATAATTTTGTCTCAAAAACAAAGAATCTGGATGGTGAGAGGTCAATCTTATACTTTCTTTTTTTAAGTTCTTCAAGCACACTTGTTTTAAGGGAAGCTTTTTGCTGTAACTATCACTCAAGGTCCAAACTAGTATAATACTAAAGGAGTATGTCACGTGATCTAAACCAACTACCATATCAATCTTTTTTTCTCTCAGAATTCCATGCTAACTAGCAATTTAATGAATATCACAATATTTAATTCTTGGCTATTTCACCACGACAGGAGAAATAGCAATTGTATACTACTCTCAATTAATCCCTAATAAAGAATATCATAACACATGAAATCTTTAAGCAATTTATAAACTTCCTTTTGGTCAAAGGTTTCTTGACCCTAATCAAATCTTCCACTATACCCCAAATGTTGAAAAGTACAAAGTTTGGCATTTTATCACCAAGCAGGTGACAGCTAAGAAGAGCAGTATATTCATATTATATGTATTTTCCTGAATACGCAGGAAATGGCCACATGAACTTCTAATCAGAAAACTTTTGAGAAAATGCCTTCCCTGAAAAAAACTGGCATTTATAAGCCCAGCCTGTCCAAACACCTCAATTTTATTCAACAAATGTTTCTTGACTGCTCACATTGCTGGGCACTATGGATAAACACACAGAGCCCTGACTCCACGGCCACATAAGTAAACACTGAGACTGTCATGTGTCTATTTGCTATGATAGTTAGGTGACAGGTGCAATAGGAACAAATAGGGGAGGAACAATTGTTGCTGTGTTTTTTTTTAATCCTCACCCAAGGATATTTTTCCATTGATTTTTTTTTTTTTTAGAGAATGGAAGAGAGGGAAAGACAGAGAGAAATATTGATGTGAGAGAAACACATTGGTTGGCTGCCTCCTGCACGTGCCCCAACCAGGGCCTGGGCGGGGAGAAGCCTGCAACCGAGGTACATGCCCTTGACTGGAATCAAACCTGTAACCCTTCAGTCCACAGGCCGACGCTCTATCCACTGAACCAGACCGGCTAGGGCGAACAATTGGTCTTGATTTAAGGGGCAGAAAGAGGGGTGAGTAGCATTTGAGTAGCATCTGACCTTAAAAGAAAATCAGAGCAAGGCATTGCAGGGTGGTGGTGCTGCAGACAGGGTGCTGTGATGCTCAGGGAAAGAGGCCCAGAACAGAAGCAGATGGAGCAAGGGGGGTCTGGGCTGGAGATGAGGTTTACACAGGAGGAAGTGGAGCTAGCATAGCTCAGTTATAACTGAGTTAGAAGTGTAACTTAGAGGTGCCACATGCGTCTTCTCCAAAATGGAATTATGTCTTAAGCAAAATACATTTCTACCATTACTAGAAAACACTGGATTACACCAAAGTACTTGGGCAAATGGATTAAAACAGCATAAAATCTCCCTCAGCGGTTAGGTTTTCCTTTGCGAGGCCTTGTTTGGAGAAGGGAAAGGTACTCTTTTACTTTGTCAGCCTGACGGAGGTCAGAAAGACAAAGACACCACAAAAGCAGATGCTTGTCCAAAAACATTCTATTCATACAACTGCTCCAAAGACATGAGAGTTTGGGGAAACTATTGATTTGAAAATCTGGGTTCTGTTGATCTCAAAAAGTTAACAGATGTTGCTTGGATTTCTGAGAAAATATATTTGAAAAGACTAGCCTTTTAAAAGCTACAAAACTAACATTAAAATCTCATAGCTTCCATTATTTAAAAAATAAATATAGTTTCAGGAACAATAAAGGCTACAGATCAAAAGCAAATTCAAATACTCTTAAAGTATTCAAATGGTACTTTCAAACTTTGATTTTGTACCACAAAATTAAGCTGGTTAAATGCTGATATTAAATCCTGAAAACTATTTAGAAACATTTTCCCACATTAAGAGAAAATCAGTTATTGGTATACAATGTTTATAATTATAAAAACTGCCCATTCAAATAGGGAAATTAATATAAATTAGTACCAAAATAATAAAAACAATGTTATTCTAGAACACAGAAAATGAAATGTTTAAATGTATGAGTTCTACTTATTATAATGCTGTTAACACTATACACTATCTTTAATGTAGATTTTGACATGTGACATATATAGGAGAACGTACACAAATCACAAATGTACAGATCAATAAGATTTCTATAACGTGAACGCACGTATGTAACCAGAACCCAGATATTGACAGAATGGTCAATGGTGCCCTTCACCTTACGGATGAAAGATGTACGCAGCACCTTTTCCTCACCAACTGCAAAGTATACTTGGTGCAAACACATGATGAAATACCTGTAACACAGATAGATCCTCACCACTTTCCTGAGAAATCTGTCTTGCAGACAGATTTCCAATCTCATGATTATCAAGTGTTGCATATTTTTGATGTTTCTCAAACATCCAATAAAGTAGCAAGTAAAAAGATTAAATATGTTTAAAGAAATCTACATTTGGAAAACTTCTAGCTAAGTCAGTTGAAATAAACTGCTCAGAATTTTTCTTTAATTACCAAAGAGTACACTATTAAAGGATTTCAAAAATACATGCTATTATTAAATAAAAATCTTTTAATCCCCATTTGGGTTAAAATGAATACTATTTATATGTTTATCTACTTTTATTTCTTAGTTTTGATTTATAAAATCCTCAATAATTTAATGTTTAGTACTAACATGATTCAAGAATGTTCTAAATGGTGTGGTGAAGGCAATGGGGTGAGCCCTATTCCAATATGATATAAGATTTCAGGACACAGACAAGCACAGAGGAAAATCATGCAAACATAGAGAGAAGACAGCTGTTTACCAGCCAAGGAAAGAGGCCTCAGAAGAATCAACTCAGACTTCTAGGCTCTGGTACTGAAAAGAAATTTCTGCTTAAGCAACCCAGTCTGTGGTACTTGTTATGGTGGCCCTGGAAAACTAATTTGTAACCAAAAAGTAGCTAGAAAACTTGTTTGTTTGTTTTTTATATATGTAGAACCCAAGGATTCCCCCTCAAAAAAATCTCTATAACTAATAACCCAGCAATAATTGAATACTTCCCTAGAATGTGCACTACAGCATTCTTTGCACAGTTATCAATTATTATTTGTTGAATTATACTGGCAATACCTTTAAAAGACATGGGTAGTATATGAAGGTCACTGCGTAGTATGAACACCAATGAACTGATGACCGAGAATGGAAAAATGACCCCAACAACAGTGATTCACCCCACTGGATGAGTAAGCCCTTTTTATCTCTGTATGTGCAAACTCCAATGTCCTTCCAATCTAGACTGCGGAAGCTGGGAGACTACTCTGAATTTTTCTTATTACTTACTAGTAGCCCTGTGCACGAATCCGTGCCCCAGTAGCTTGCCAATAGCTCGCTGCCGCCCTCCAGTAGCTCTCCGCCCGCTGCCTTGCCCTCCTGTAGCTCCCCCCCCCCCCACCCCGCAACTCCCTCTCATAGCTTGCTCCTGTAGCTCTCGGCTGCCCGCTTATAGCTTGCAGCCCCACCCTCCTGCTGATCTGTGATCCAGTCGTTACTCGGTCAGTCGTTACATTTTAAGGTATAACAACCATTTGCATATTACATCTTTATTATATAGGATTTAGGATGTAAACCCCATGTTTTTCCAAAAGCTTCGAGATTACTTGAAAATTTTAAAACAAGTTCTACAATAATTATCATAGTTGAAATTCAAATGTTCATGAGAGAAAGAGAATAAACAGCTATACTAGTATATAAAGAGTTTATGGTGGATAGGGAGCTCCTTACAGTTCCTAAAGTCTTAAAATTGAATAATGAATATAAAGCAACACAATGTATTAGGCGTTTATTTTCAGTTATAAACTGAAAATGAATTAAAATATGAAGAGATTGCTTTTAAAAGTGAATATAATAAGTTTTAGGTTATCTACCTTAACAATAGACATAGAAAGCATGTTCAGCCACAATTTTTATATATTCTTCTAATCCCTTGTATTGTATTTTTTCCTTATAAATCTTTAACACTAATATTCCTAACCAAAAAATGACACTCTAAATATTTTCATTTTACTATATGCCAGGTGCTATGCTAATGATTTACAGGCATTTAATCTTTATCTCAATCCTATGACATGGGTGGTATTTGTGACTTTTGAGTTTACCTTCATTAAGCACAATCAATGTATTACACCAGATTTGCAATATATGTGCTCCTAAAACCTTAGCTAAAATGAGAACAAAGCTCCTAAGAATCAATACATGAAAGAGATCAATCTATCTAGAGAAGCAGCCCACCATAGAAGATGTTTCATAAATTCGACTGAAGAGAGTGGGCTCTGCCTATGCCTAAATCAAAGTGACTAAGAAATTGTCTCAACACCCCTCCACCTCCAACTCATTATAATTTCATAATTGTTAATCAATCTTCTATTATAATCTACTTTGCTATTGAAGAAAAATAAGTCTATCAGTCGACTCACACATCTGGTCTACCTAGAAGGGTTATTCCCCATTACAAATGCATACATTGATATCTGGTCCTAGTCGGTTGGTTATTAGGAACTAACACTTGATCAAATCTGACAAAATCAAGTTCTGAAGCCCTAGATCACAATACTAGGTCTGCGCCCATGACAGGCATAACCTCACACTCTGGGGTCTTGTCTGAGGAGCCAGCACGTCTGTTTGACATATCTTTATTCTTTCTTTATCTTCCTATCTTTCAGTTAAAGCAGTGTGAACCTCAGCCAGTATACCCTTATAATAAATACAATTTCCATGTATGCAATGGTAAAAAACATCTAGTCCCAACAAATATTTTTGGGAAAAGGTTACCTTTATTTTTTTCTTTGCCAAGTAAGTGTCTTTAAAAATGATCTATTCATAAGAGCAGAAATATTTACGGGGCAGGAGGGAAAGAAAAAATCTCATAAGAGATGTTTTTAAAAAATTAAGTGAGTTGGGCTTTAAGGACAACCGGCTAGAGAGTGTTTATTTTTCTCACCTCAACAAAGATGGACCCAGGGCAACTGATCTAATTTAGTGGCTTCATGAGGAGACAGGGACAAGAAGAATTGATCACTTTGTCTAAGATCACAAAGCAGTATCTCAAACCTGGTTCACTGCAATTTCCATCATGCAGCCCCGACTCTGCAGCTTGTTCCCCAGGGAAAGCTACAAAGGCAACCTTTACATGATCCCCTTATCCTGATGCCACTGTCACCACTGGGTTTTGTTTTCAGTCTACACACATTTCTGCTGAAATATTATATTTTGGCCTTATTTCTGGCAGCGATAGCATGAAAAGACCAAAGTCGGGTGAACAAGTAAGGTTTTTATAAACCGCATGTCTCCAGAGGATCTGATGCGCCCACAGCCACTCTCATAAATCAAATCTCATTTTTCCTGGCGCGACAACCCTACGTCCTTCAGAACACTGACTTCCAACACTAGCCAAAAAAAGGGCCAGTCATAAAGATAACTTCAATTCCCCATTCACAGTAGGCCACAGACAAGGAGTAGAAGTTTTTTTGTGTGTGTTTTGTTTTTGGAATGATGAAAATAAAGCTATTTAGTCCAGAATACTTCTTAGAAGTGGTGGGACATAAAATGAGTTTTGACAAATGGAAAGCAAAATGAACACACACATTTGAAATCCACTCAATAGTAAATGAGTAGAAAGAAGTAAACAAGACCCCTGCATTCCACCCAATTACTTTAACTTATAGCACTACCAAACAGAACATTTTTGATTCTTTAATTCCTTCTGCACCTACATGTCTCCTCCTCCCCTGTGAAATCTAGTTTGTTTCAACATAAGCTCATAAAAACAGAACGCCACAGCACAGTGGTAATATTTAGAATTGTAATCTACTTGGCTATTGAAGACACTGCAAAGGCCATAAAACTTCATTTCTCTTGTTCTCATTAGACAGCAACCAGTGAATGACCTTGTCCTTTGCAATGTCAACCCCTGTGGTCTCAGGCAGCTCTTCCTGGTTTCAGATCTCTGATTATCCTGGAACATTTCTCCAACTACATGGAGATGGTTTTTATATTGACATTTCGAAGGTCACTCTACAGAAGTTCAAGTTAGATTAAGCCATCCTGTTTATAACATTATATAATTCTCATTGTGACCAATTTCAAGACAGAGAACTGGTTGGCTCTCAAAGTTCAAAAAGGTCTTGCCACAATTTGGAGGAAAAGTAATTATTCATAAAATACCTGATAGAGTAATAGCAACTTTCAATTGTCATTACAGAATAAACTAATGCCATTTCTCTACTTACTGAAACATAATTACTATATTGTTTCACCTATACTAACTGGTTTCAGTCTATGAACTTCACTAGGGTAAATCGATTATCACTTACCATTAATAAGCAGAGAGCTATCGGATCCTGGATATGAATAGTTTAGACGACCTGAAGGTAAAAGAAGGCCGTTACTAAGTTTGTTTTCTTCATGGATGGTTTAAGCGTATGCAATAACAAAACTGAATTGCTTGTTTTAATAGATAAGGTATTAAAAAGCTGTATTTGGGATAAAACTTCGTTGTGCTAATAACCACAATGAATCAGAGGACATACCAATCAGCACGTTGGCAAACATTCAAAATGGGAAAGTCTGAAAGTAGGAAAGTTATTTGGTCATTCTAACTTCTAAATCCCTATGCAAACTAATTTTCTTTATACCATTATGTTCTACTACCAGTTCATAATGACAATCTTCACATTTTTTTTTAGCCCTATACATGTGAAAAAATTCAAATATATAGTTTTTTATTGCTTTTTAGAAGTATGTAATTAGCAGTAATATTTTTCTATGATTTAGAACAAAAGTGCCAGGCTTGTGCCTACATGTACAGACATGCTAATGTGTTTAAATTTGCATTTTGAGAATCAGTACAGAAGGTAAAGAAAAACATACTGTATTTACATGTGACAGAAAATATCAAAGCACACAACACACAGCACAATGCCCAGAGCACAGCAGACACTCAAAAAATACTGGGATAGTTTCCCTTGAATTTTTAAGTGGTTCAAAACTAGGTTTTGAACCTAAAATGGACACCCACTATTCCCATCAAAAAAGACTTTGTGAAGGTACTAACATTTTGGAGGATGCAACAACTTCTAAATTAGTAACCACAAAAAAAGGGAGGATGGTGCTGGAAATGGTTTCTCCCTCTATAAGGAATTCAATTTATTTATTTTTTTATTGATTTCAGAGAGAAAGAGAGAGGGAAGGAGAGATAGAAACATCAATGATGAGAATCATTGATTGGCTGCCTCCTGCACGCCCCCTAGTGGGGATCGAGCCAGCAACCCTGGCATGTGCCCTGACCAGGAATCGAACTGGACCTCCTTATGCAACCACTGAACTACACTGGCTGGGCAAGGAATCCTATTTCTGTTAGGGGAGAATTTCTACATGTAAGTTGAGGTATCTAGACCACAAACCTTACTGAATGCACACCATGTACCTAATTCTATGCTATACATGACAAAAATCATTATGGAAACATTTGTAAGTCTCCATGTTCCATGTGCCCATCTGCACCCACCTTCATAATGGTGGAGACTCTCAACAAAGTCTTGCTCATGTAAGGAATGGACAGGGGAACCTGACTATTACTGGTAAGTAGCTACCATAGCCCAGCCCAGCACTGTATAAATGAGTAGTGTGAGGATTTAAAGCCGACTCAGAATTACAACTGTAATTCTAAACTCCGACCCACAGAACCATGGGAGACTCTCCAGGCTCTGGAAAAGTGGGTAAGCAGAGTCTCTCCCATCCCCTGAGGGTGAGTGGGGCAAGCCTGCCAACATGCCGGGAAGACGACCCGGTTCCCCTGAGTACTACGGGGACCAGAGCTAACCTGCGGGCCTATGGGTCCAACAGCCATGTTTACAACTCCAGAAAGGAACGTCAGGCCTCAGCCAGCCTTCAACCTCTCAAAATCCTGCTTCTTTGAAAGAGTCGCCACAGAAATGAACTCACACTGTGAAAAGAGAACATTGTTCTCCATTGTTAATAGCTTTAATTAACCTATATCCAAAACGTGAGGCTCTAATATGAAACAAAATCTGAACTTAATAATTTCCCTGCCATTTACAATCAAATACAAGGATTGTTTTTACTGTCATTAAGTTGTTAATTGTTCTATTTAAAATTTCAGCTTGTTCCTATTAAGGGAGTGGAGGTAGGGTTGGAGATGAGGAAGGAAGAGGTACAAAATAACATTTCAATTTATTCCTAAAAAATGGCTTCATTGTTTAATACTAATCACACAGCCCAGTATCCAGCTCCACTGGAATTCCACCTGAACTGCTGGACTATAAGCCCAGATCTTCTGACCTGTCACGAGTGCGTTTTTAAAAAAAGCACAGACTTGAGATGCTGGAATAAGAACATGACCCTTGACGGTTAAACACTCGGAAGGGGGCGAGCTGTTTCAGAATCACGTAACTCGTAGGCGCTGCTGACTTTCTATAATGGAGCACAGCATACATTTGTAACTGGAAAACCCTCGGGTGTTGAACTAACAGAGCCATCACACATACCATTTTTATTTATCTTAAAACATTTTGTAAAAAGATGATGTAAGTTAATACAGACATTTATGTCACTTCATTAACTGAAGTGAAGAGGAAATGTTTTGTTATTTCGAAGAGGATATTCAGATATTTGAATATTTCGAATGCCAACATTCCAGCTGAAGTCCTGGCTGTTCCACATGAACTCTAATGCCTCTTCCTGGATGCCAAGCAAGGACGAGTAAGTGAGACAAATGACCAAACAGGCTGGCCCAGTTTAAGAAATCAAACTCGGCCTCATCAGAAACTCACCTCTGGGTGACTTTTAAGGAAAGGAGAGGACTGTTTCAGCTCGATGGGCTCAAAAGTGTCCCTTCCCTCAGTTCTCGAGTTCGCCCCACAGCGCCCCTCCCAAGGAGGGCCTTTGATGTTTTTTCTGCTGAGATGTCTGAACCCAGTCATTCTAGCCTCCAGCTATCACAATAGGGCCCCGGAGAATCACTGGCAAGGTTCAGAGTTTAACTCTGAAAGGTGATCCTTGTTTTTAATTCTCGACCTGGTCAGGTTGGAATCAATTTTGACCTCTGAGTAGCAAATACATCTGGGACATTTTGTTAAACAATCAGTAATGGGTAATGCTTTCTTCTTCAATTTAAAAATATAAGCAGTGACAGAGCATTTTTTAAGCTTTCTTAATGCTTCCCTAACCTGTCTGCCCTATCCTTCGGCAAATTCCTTCTGTAATTAAAATATCTCGAGTCACCCGTTCATGACATCCATCGTAGATGATACCTAGCACTTTCTTTCTGGAAACCTTCCCGGAGCTCCCATTTGAGGTCTTTCAGGTCTTCCACGAGCCTTTCACATGCTCCCTCTGCTTTAACATCCTCTGCTCTGTGGACGCCAATGTACATGGGCACTTCTGCATTTTATATTCCATGGGTACATTACCCACAATCCCCTCCTTCTGAAGGCTATTTCTCAAGTCTTTTTTTTTTTCTTTCAGATTCACCTTTTTCAGGGCACCATTCCCAAAAAGGAAACCCCCTTTTTAGATCAGCTCACCAAATTTTATTTCTAGCTCTGCTGCCCCAGCCAACCTTCTTAGGTAATTATTTCAGCTACTGGCTTTCTTATCTCTCTTACATAATAACCCCTTTAGGAACTAGAGCCTTTTTTAACTAGCACTTTGAGTTTCCTGTTGGGGTACCAGGCAAGCATTCAGTGAGTTCATTCCCTGAATTTAGAACACCGGTGTTTCACAACTGAATAAAGCAAAATAAAAGAAAAATAACTGTATAGCTAAATATAAATATAACTCAGTGGTTGTGGTTTTTGTTTTGTTGTTGCTATTTTTTATTTTTATTGATTTCAGAGAGGAAGGAAGAGGGAGAGATAGAAACATCAATGATGAGAGAGAATCATTGATCGGCTGCCTCCTGCACGCCCCCTACAGGGGATCAAGCCCGCAACCCAGGCATGTGCCCTTGACAGGAATCGAACCTGGGACCCTTCAGTCCGCAGGCTAACGCTCTATTCACTGAGCCAAACTAGCTAGAGCGGATGTTATTTTTTTTATAACACATCCTATCTATAAACATAACCCAGGTTTGGGCACATTTAGAATTTAATTCCTCAAGGGAGGAGGAGGGCATTAGGATTTCAGACAAGTGAACCTATTTGGTAAAGAAAACAATCTCTGAATCATCTTGGTATTGATTGTGTTACAAATAGGAAGAAATACTGCCTGGTCAGCAGGCCCAATCTTAAAGGACACAGCAGAGTCAGTCTCTGGAGGCCAGCTGTGGCACTTGGAGCCAGGAGCCTGGCATACATCATGCAGAAGGCACAGGCTATATTTGGTGACATGACTCAACCTAGCCAAATATAGGCAACTGATACAGTGCGAATCTGGGAACCACACTACCAAATTCTACAGCCTTGAAAAGAGCCACACTCCAACTAGGCAATTCTATGCTAGGCATTTGCGAGTTGGGAGAGAACCAGTATTTACCAACCAGACTGACTAAGAATTGCTGGGGGAAGAGGTGCTCAAAAGAACAGTATGTACTATCATATTCTTTTAAGACATTAACTAAAGTAACCTAGTCAATGAGATGAAAGAAGAAAAGACTAGAAAGAAATTAATATATTAGCAGTATATGTGCGTATTACTTTCAAAATTAGATAAAAGTTATTTTCTAAAAAGTAAGCAGGTATTATTGCTACTGATGATTGAGCAGGAAATGATACAATAAAGGCTGCCCTTTCAAACACACAAACAGCAAAATTATCAAATGCTCTCCAGGGCTATTAGATGTCATGCTGTGACCTTTTTCAGAATCATGCCAGCATTGCTGGTGGCATGGTGTAGGCCAAGGAATGACAATGGGGGATAGCTACCAGGTTGTCCAAAATACAGATGGATAGCCATGCAATCCTCTAAAGTGACAAGTAGCATGAAATTCTAAGTTAATGTTTTAATTGACTCACATTGTAAAAACTTGATACTCCAAAGGAAAGGGAGGGGTCTTCAGTGAACATCATTACAAATTTCTAATAGGGAAAGGGACACGTGTGGGCTTAGGCCCATGTCTAAGGTAGATCCAAGATTTACACACATAACTCATAGATGTGTATATACATACACATGCATTTGTTGTCGCTGAGGTACTCCTGCTACCTTGCTCTTGCTAGTTTTATTTATTTCATGCTAAGTGTGTCAAAGCCACGCTGCCATAAATACTTTAATACTAAAAATATATATATATATATATTTTATTGATTTTTTACAGAGAGGAGGGGAGAAGGATAGAGAGTTAGAAACATCGATGAGAGAGAAACATCGATCAGCTGCCTCCTGCACACTCCCTACTGGGGATGTG